TGACAATTTCCAATACTTGAATTATGCTTACAATTGTGTTATGTGTTAGTTTTATCAAACATCCAAGGAATCCACCAATGAGAAGGATACAGCAGATATGTGCAAAGGTTTATTTACTTCCACATTGCAAAGACTATTCACTACAAGAAGAAGTAGAATTACTATACCACATTGTTTCTTATGCACATCTCATTACACTTAACTTTTTTTAAGTAAGTATGGGAATCTGCTGAAAATCTTGACAATTAACCTCAAAACTGTAATGCCTGTCAAACTGCAACATGAAATACTTTTAAAGACCATACTTTTCCTTAGCTTCTCTGGTCTTAGAACTAAAAGATTAGGGTGATACAACTTTAAGTCCCCATTAAAAATTAAAAATTATAGAGGAACAGGAGTGTTAACTAGTTACATTAGGAATCAGACATTGCTTGCATTAGTTTCATTATAGTGTTGTGTCATTTAACCCTGATAAAAAAAAAGTCCTGTTGATAATTCCATCTCCTTAGGTAACTTTCCCTGAATGTATCTCATCTCTTTTATACCAGCTTCAAATCCAGTTTAAAATTGGCTGCAGTTCATTTCCAAATAACTTCCTAAAAAAGCCCAATCCCTTAATCCTTACTTATACAGAAAGTTGTTGTTTAAAGAAGTCACATCACTGACTCCAGTGCAATGACTCACATCATAAAATTTGATCTGAATTTGACTAATCCTCCCTCCCCCTCTCCCCCCTTTTATTTTAAGGAATTTTAAAAGACAGGGAAGAGCTAACATGTCTCTATCTAGTCTCTGGCATCTACCAAGAACACCAAACAAAAGAGGCAGACTACCTGGCAAATACCCTTTGTACTTCCCAATGAAAGTGAGATAGTCAATATCTCTAAGTTAGAGATAGCAAATGTTTCTAAACTGAAGATGGAACAAGTTTTCTCCACCACTAGGCACATCAGAAACTTTAGTATTTGAAAATTGAAGAGAGTAATCTATTGATATAACCAGCATAGGAAATGAGCCAGCTGTTTCTCAGGGATTAGGCAGAAAGAATGCACAGGTCCATTTGATTATTTTTGGCAGAACTAACCCACCTTAGTGTACACACCCAGTCAGCATGGAGCCCTCAGGACCCTATGGACACAGCTTCAGTAAGAAAAACACTTTTAAAAATTAATGTAGCTGTCTTTGAAATCTCGAAGAGGATCACACGTCCCATTCTCACGATACTATCTTATCTGGTGATCTTGTAGCAAACATATCTTCAGTCTTAGATTCTTAATAAGTACTTGTGGCTTTAATACCAACCTAATTTGAAATCTAAACCTAGTAATGCAAATAAAAGAAAAAAGTTTGTACGAAGTTATGAGGGAACAGCCTTTTTTCCTTTCAAACTTGTTTTTAAGATTATGCTTTCCCTCTTTTCTATGGCCTTGACTACTGTAAAAATAGACTCACTTTAGCAATCTGTGCAGCCTGAAGCAGGGTAAAGCTAGGATAGCTCATCTTCTTCAAAAGCGTGCAGAGCCCTGTCATCGTGATGGCAGCTGTGTCAATTGATAGCTACCAATATCTGCCTGTTCTCTAGCACAGAAAAGGCCTGAGAGAGAACATGGACCTGTGGTTATCCTGTCACAACTGACATGCCTGTTCCAAACTACTAATCTAAATCTGGCTTCTAGTAATCATGGCCAGAGCTTCCCGCTGTCTGCACTCAGCCTTGGCAATATTTTGGTGTGTAGCATGCTGCCAATTCATAACAGGATGCCAGGGCTTCATTCAGTCACTTTCTGGCACTGATTAAGAGAAGAGGAAAGGAAAGGAAAGTAGAAATCTCGAAGTTATGGTGAAATAGTTTTACTTCCTGTAAACTTGGCAAAGCGAATTTGTTCTGGTTTTTTTTTTTTTTTCAATAATTTGCATAACAGTGTTTGGGATCTGCAGTTTGTAGTTTAGATTATACTTGTCAATAAAAGCAATTTACTGACAAACAACATTTCCAGTCTTGAAGCCACAAAGATAGCTAATCTGTAAAAAATTACAAGGGCTGAAATGCAAATATTTGCAAAATATGAAACAGCAAGCTTTTCAGCTACCCTGGAAAATTACTCCCTCAACAGTAGTTGTTAGGTACATCTAACAACACCTAAGAAACACAAGAAAGATTAATCATTGAAAGCAGTGGATTTTCTGTCTTTTGCCAACTTCAAAGTAAGATAAAATGTCCCTTGAAAAGTATGCTTTAAGTAAATGCAAGTCACTCACTGAGCTCCATTCAGAGGCACAAGATAAAATTGAATGGCCTGTGCTGGCCAGACCAGATGATGCAACAGGACTTCTGCCTTTAAATTATTAAAACTGGAACTCTATCCCACTTCTTAAATACTCTAAAGATTCATATATTTGTCAAAAGAAAGAGCCTTTTTAAAAAAGTCAGGTCAAAGCCATTGTCCTGGATTTCAAATGGAACCTCTGGAAGTCCAACCCCACAAAAAGCCTGAGCAGGGAGCTGTCTTCATGAACTATTTCACTTTCAAGTCCATGCCCAGGGCTGGTAGAGCTCCCTGTGCCACTGGCAGAGAGTGGGGGCTGCTGTCACACATGAAACTGTTTTGTGACCACGGTCTCTCCAGCCCAGGAAGAATATCACTTAATAAAAGATACATCAATTAGTTTTTTGCAACAGAGGAGGAAGAGCAGGCCAGCTCCCCTTCCTCTGCCCACGATACCACAGTACTGTCAGTCCTCACTGGAGTGTTGCAGAACGGGTGACATGACATCCTCTCTGACCTCACCTGGACACTTTTGGCCACCAAACCCAGCCTAACAAAGCAAGTGCTGCCGCAGCGCCGGGTTGCTGACAGCTCGTGTCTTTCCTGTGTATTTACTGCCCTCTCCAGTCACGTCCGCGCAGCAGCACATCCATCCCTTCAGCAACTGAGTTGCTTTTGGATTTCATTCTGGTACACTTGCCTTACTTCCTTCGATGATGTTCTTGGTGCGTGGCAAGGTGGGTTCTCCTTGTGTGGGGCAGTCCGAGGCACTTCTACCATAAAGTTCGGCCCATCTCAGGATCTCAGCACAACCTTTGGACATGGAATTACAGGCAGGCAGAAGTCTGTGTAGAATGTTCTAAAGAGGAACAAATAAACAAACAAAATAATAGGATTTTAGAAATTTCTTACAGATACTAAGATGTAAGTGGGGCCACACACTCTGCTCCCCTGCATCAGCAAAGCAAACCAGGGAAATTTATTAAGCAGGTGGAATTCCACATAGCCAACCTCGCTGGGTTTTGTAGATGGGCTCCCAGCAACAGTTTTACCACTGCAGGAATTTCTTACCAAACCCTACTATAACCTCCAAAGAACACTCCAGAAAAAAACCAAACAAACAAAACAAAAAACCCCCATACGGTACTCTGGGCAGGAACACCTGGGAATGAAATAGAGACAGGGAAAACAGAACAGTCTCAGGACAGATCAAAACTAACCCCTCTATAGTGACCATTTTCTGAAACACATGCCGGGGAAATGTCAGGACATGCTGCATTAGTTGTTGCAGAGAACAACAGCTTTACAGGCACGTCATTAACACATAGTTAAAAGAGCAGGTGTTTAGCCTTCAGGCGAGAAGAGAGAACAGCATAGTCAACATTTCTCACTGTCTCTACACTGTCAAAGTCACTGTCAAGCAAAAAGGTCGAAAAGGAAAGCATGGATCCTCATCCCATCCGCCAACATTTTTACCCGTGGGAACCTTTCCCAAGGTCCTGGTGACTTCTTTGGATAAGTTCATCTCCGAGTCCAGTGTCCCAAAAGGGCACAGAGTAGAAAATGCTGGATTTAATACACTTTGAATTGGTAGTTTTCAAAAAGGTATTATGTACTATTCTAAATAATGGCTGAACTGCTACACTGGTAGGAAGGGCAACGCCTGTTTATTTCAGCCCAGTAGCGAGCGCTGCTGCAGTTCGTGACCCCCGGGTGGGCTGCGGCGGGGACGCTGTGGCCTTGACCCAGGGACAGTCCCGGGCACTCCTGCGGGAGGCATCTCCCATCCCGCCCGGTGCCACGGGAGGGCGCTCCGGTCCCTGCGGGGTGCCCCGGGCCAGCGCCTGCTGAGATTGTCCCCGTCCCATTTTCTGCTTTTCCTGCACCCCTAAGCGGAGCACTGCGGTGAACTGGCAAAACGTCAAGCTGGAAAGCTCTCTCCAGCTTCCGCGCTGTTCCATACTGCGTTCGGCACAGAATCACTTAGGTTGGAAAAGACACCTTGAGATCATCGCATCCAACCTAATGACCGAACACCACTACGTCAACTAGGCCATGGCGCTCAGTCTTTCCTTAAACTTCAAGGGATGGGACTCCAATATCTCCCTGGGCAGCCCATTCCAATGTCTAATCACCCTAAACCTCCCCTGGTGCAGCTTAAGACTGTGTCTTCTTGTCCTGTCACTCGTTGCCTGGGAGAAGAGGCCAACTGATCCCCACCTGGCTACAACCTCCTTTCAGATACTTGTAAGGAGCAATAAGGTCACCCCTGAGTCTCCTCCAAGCTGAACAACCTCGGCTCCCTCAGCCGGTCCTTATGTGACTTGTTTTCCAGACCCTCCACCAGCTTCATTTCCCCTCTCTGGACTCACTCCAGCACCTCAGTGTTTTTCTTGAAGTGAAGAACTGGACACAGCACTCGAGGCGCGGACTCAGCAGTGCCGAGTACAGGGGGACAGTCCCGGCCCTGCTCCTGCCAGTCACACTATTCCCGGTACAAGCCAGGATGCCTTCTTGCCACCTGGGCACACTGCTGGATCACGTTCAGCCACTGCCCACCAAGGGGGCCACTTTCCAGCCACTCTGCCTCCCCAGGCTGTAGCGCTGCAGGGGGTTATTGCGGCCAAAGCGGGTCACTGGGCACACGGCGGTGCCCGTCGCGAACCCACGGACCCACGGGCTCAGGGGCGGGGACCGTCCCCCCCCGTCCCCCGTCCCGCGGTGGCGCGGCCCGGCCCCGCCCCGCTGCCAGCGGCCTTAGCGCGCGGGCCGCGGGGGGCGCAGAGCGCGCAGCGATGGCGGCGGCGGCGGAGCGGGCCCGGGATGGGAGCTGCCACTTCCAGCGCTCCCGCCTCCTGTGGATGGTCGCCATCATCTTCGGCATGGTCGTCCTCGGCGTAAGGAGCGGCGGGGTGAAGGGCGGGGGCGAGAGGTCGATCGGAAGGCGCGCGGTGCGCGGTGGTCCGCGGGAAGGGCGGAATTCCTGAAATAAACCGGCAGGAAAAGGAAGCTGAGCGTCCTGCTTTGGCCGGGCCGGGCAGCGAGGAGGCTGGAGGGAGCTATGGAGGGAGTCCAGAGGGAAAAAGCAGTGGGATTTGGAGGCGAGGCTGTGGCGGTGAGGCCGCATCCCGGGTGCCCTGGGAGAAGGGTCCAGCGTTCCCAAAACTGACCCCCCTGAGTGTCGGCACAGCTCGCTCCGGGACAGCCCTGGGGCATGTCAGTCCATAAAGTGCATTTGCAGACTGTACGAAGTGACGGTGGGGTTGGAAAAGTGACGCGTCTCTGAAACCAGACTTCAGCTAAGAGAAGTCGGATTGCTGGAGCAGGGATATTAATGACAGTTTTGATATATCTGACAAGTTTATCGAAGTCATCCATTGACTTTCACATGTTTTCTTTCTGCTTGGGTTTTCTAAACATAAGAACCACCGCTGAAAAAAATGATGGTCGAGGCAGGCTAGGCAGCTCACAGAACAGCTTTTGGACTGTTTCAAGAAACAGAATGCGCTTTAAGCAGATTCCCTGTTTAAATCCATCATCTTGCCACATCCCTGGCATAGCTACGTTTAAGTGTAGTTAGAAACTGGAGCATTGGTACCAGAGGAGAGATAAGTGAGTGTGAACTTTGGTCTAGCCCAGCGTTCACCTTACATGCCCAGTGGACTCCACAGCTCACTGACTGCCTCTCCTCCACGGCTTGGTAAAACACAGGTGGGCACTGGTAAACACTGCACACAGCTCAGTGACAGGAAAGAAACCTGGAAGCAAACCACGTGCATCTTTGGTCTTGGGACATCAGTCGTCCTTCCGCACGCTGTTCAAAACAGAAGAAAATCTGACGTTTTCTTTTTTAAGGGACAAAAGAAGAAAGACTGATCCCCTAGTTTTAGATAGTTATTCCTCCTAAACAGTTTAGTCATTGTTTGAATTCTTCGGGTCAGTTTCCTCAAATTATCTTCTCCAGGACAGAGACAGCTTTTTGCAGCTGCCATGTCTAATGGGTAATAAGCTTACAACTGAAATGCCACTTAATGTGCAGATGCACTCCTGGTACCCAGACTGCAACCTTAAGCTTATCCCTTGGCATCCTGTATGTCAAGAAAAAGAAATTTCATAGTTTGCATCTTTTTAAGTAAGTGTGCTTTCAAAGGCCAGTTGCCTTGTTGAAGAATATTGATCTAGGGCAAGGTTAATGGAATAAAAGAGTTTAAATACTATGAATAAATAAGCCCCAAACCACGTTTGATGGACATGGGGGGTGGGGAGAGTGAAAAGAAAGCGCATTAAAGGTTAAATTGATAGTAATTCTACTTTGAAGTAAGCTAACTAAATTTTTTTTTTTAGTGGGTAACACTTTGGCCTTCGACTATACCTTATAGTTATTTGGGAATATTTGGTACCTTCCTTAATTATTTAGTGGAACACCACCACAAATGGGTCTGCTACATGTAAGTTATATTTGACTGTATTATAATTATTTTGCCTCTCTCTGACTCTTGTGCTTAGCCTGTGTTAACAAGCTTTCCTGTAACCCAATCGTTAATTAGATTTAAAGAGCTCTTCTTTCAAGCTCATTATAATTAAGGATGTGGGATAAAAAGTATGTGGAAGACTACATAGGCTAAGACCAGTACGGAAGTTTAAAAATTCAGCTTAGAATTTGGCATCAGTGATGTTATAGCAAGAAAGGGAAAAAATGTTAAGACACTACTTTTGACAACAGTTGTTTGTCCATTTGTAAAGTTATATCTGTACCACCTCCTAAAAGTGGTTCTTTTCTCAAGTTGTTACTTGAGTAGTGCAGTTCTTTAGGATTCTTCTTTTTCCAGCTTCAATTAAAGAACATTTTCTACCCTAGTACTCGCTTATCCTGATCCCATCCCCATGAGAAATAACCTGCTGGACAAACTGCATAGTGCTAAGTTTTGCTGGGTTACAAAACTTAGGTTTTGTTACTCTTAATTAACAAAAGAGCTGGGAAATAATTCCTTGGGAGCAGGTCTCTCACTTGCTGACTTCCTGTAAAGACAAATCAGCAGGGCTTTCTCACTTACTATTTGCATCAGGTAGAAGATAAACCTTCCTCTTTGCTTTAGCACCTTTTGCTTTCGTAATGTATTGAATCGAGCCTAACTGAATATCCCCCGTAACTTCTTATTTTTAAAAGCTTCAATATGAAAATTGGTAGACCAAGCTTGACTCATCAAGTCTTATTATATATTTTGAATCTATACACACAGTTGTTTTCATAGAACTAAATCTGTAGAAACAGAAGTAGCTCCTTAGGATCACTAAAAATACTCATGTAAGTAAAAGGATAGATTTTGCATGCTTAGCTAAGATTAACTTGTACTGCTTTCACTAAGCATTTGTCTTTTTGGTTTAATCTAAGGGCTGAAAGTTTTGGAAGCCCGCAGTGGATACTTGAAATAGCAGGTTGAGACATATTACATGAGCTACAGTTCCTCTGATTTTCTCAGTGGACTTGAGTTTCTTTCAAGTGTACACATATGTTTTTCTAAGATAAAAAATACCCCTCCCTTTCTACTTTAAAGTAAGATGTTGCTTCTATGCTTCCAGGTTTAAATTCTCTGCATAATGCATCTTGGATACAACCATCTTTTCTCTAAATTTCAACAAAATAAAACATGTTTTCTTTCCATTAGGTTCTGGGTATCCTGGTTGATTCACATAGTAGAAGCCCTCTACGGTATTAAGTTATGCCAGTAAGTTGTTCCCTCCTTTCAGGTTCTCTGAAAAGGATCTTTGATACCAGTGACATAAACTATAGACTGATTCTATGAATATGAATTCAGAGGATACTGATAAAATTCTGGCTCCAGTGATAGTTTGCTGACCTCCACAACTGGTTACTGCAGGTTCCTCTAGTGGTTGCTGTTGTACAGGGCAGCAAAACCCAGGGGTGGCAACTTGCAGAACTGGCAGCAGCAAGGTTTGCCAGAGCTTGTCTGTCTGCCTCTGAGCTCCCTGTTCACGGGGTAACACTGCACCCCAGGGAGCAGAGGGAACAATAGATAGTGTAGAAATTGTCTGATAACTTCAGGTGTTACAACTTTATCAGATCTTACCTCATCAGAATTTCAATACTGCTAATTACATGCTTAAACAATCGCATCTATATTGTAAGAATACAATTGGACACTTCCATTTGGGACTATTTAAGATCTACTTGTATCTGCAGGTTTGTGGGATAAAATACTTGGACTAATCAGACTATACAAGCAAGGCCAACTAATTCTTACGTTAGGGTAACAATTTACCTGGAAAGGCGTGCTGTCCAAACACCTTGTCCTCCTGGTCGTTTGAATCTTGTTTGTAGTAATTCAGAAGAATGTAGATACTGGTTCTCATGCTCTGGAGAGTAGGTGGCCAGTCTGTTTGTCATGGTAAAAATGGTGGTTTTCCACTTCATTTGGTTCAGTTCACAGCTGTCTGTCCCAGGCTTCTCCGGTAATGGCTCTTGGAAGCAAAGGGATTTTGTTTCATGGAATGCTGTTTAAGGTGGTTCTCAAGATAGTAGAATATGGATTAATAATTTCCACCTTCAGAATGAGAGTTAGTAATATTTTTTTCTATCAGGCTCTGGTTTTAAGTTACGTAGCTTTGAAGTTAACAAACTTAAAAGTGTAGTTCTGCAGATAGATGGGTGTACAGGCTTACAGTGATTCTTTTAAGTATGAGGAAACTTGACTACCAGTAAACATATCAAATGAGTGTATTGTAATCAGTTTAACTAATGAAGTTTTACAGAGTAGCCCATAAGAAAGAGGGAGCATAGATGGCCTGCCCATCATCATCTCTTCAGACACCCTGCTGTACATTACCAACAGTTGTCCTTCTGTGAGCATCAAACACCATTTATTTTTACTGATGTAAAAGTGATGTCTGCTTGGCAACATCACAAAGGAGGCACAAGGGAAAACTAATGAGGAAGGAGATACAAATTTGTTAATCAACAGTAGAACTGTCATTGGCTGTTGGCCTGTATTGCTGCATGTGGTCTATTCAAGTAAGCTTGCTTTGTAGAGACAGGTAAATTTCTTAAGCCTTAGTTCTCCAGTTTCTGCGCTTGTTTGGGAACACTGCAGCTGTGATTCTAAACAAAAAGTTTTTCACATCTGGTAAGACAATTTAAGAATGAACATTTAGAAATGTTGTGCTAGCACTTGCTAGACAATCATTTTGTGTTTGATGCTCTGGTACTATGGGCAACTGAACTGTTCTAGACAAGGTCAGTAGAGGGAGCCTCCTTGTAAACTGGTGAGCTGGAGCACATCTATGCTTGATGCAGCTGTTTACTAGAAATTGAAATCCCTTGTTTTTCATGTCGTATTTTTACTTGTTCCTTTCAATAGCAGTATTTCCCAAGAACAATGAAATGGAGAAAAAAGTGACATTTTCTGTAAAATACAAAAAAATACACACATGTTAACTTTAACTAACATAGTCATAAATTAAGTCAGGTGTCTTCAGCCCTGTTACCTGTATTTTTCTAGCCACAAATTCAGATAACAATGCTTCTCCATCCTGCATTGCACAGTAATTGTCAGGTCTCTGCCCTGCTTGCATACAGTAGTATGTATTAACCGACTTAACTTATTTATTATGTAGTAATTGTCTAATTAATAAGTGAATATATATTTAATTACTGTGTATTAATTAACTGACTATAGTCAACAAGTAATTATATTCAGGCTTGTGTATAAAGATTAGTATCAAGCTACTCCAATTTCTTATAGGATTTCTTATAAGTTATTTCAAATAGCATAGACTGAGATTGCAATTTATAAATTGTTAGGGAAATTATATGCATGAAATGTCTGAAAAAACTGTTTTTCTGAAGATAGCTTAAAATCCACTAAAATCACAAGAATTGGTATGTTTAGTTAGCACAGGAAACGAGTCTCAGTAGATCGGAATTAATCATGCTAGGTTGAAATGTTCTAATCAAGTCTGAATATCCAGGATGGGTAGAGATACCTAACCTCACTTTGTGAATATCACAATATAGTCTGCAGGAGCATAAGTTTTTTGACCCATTTTATGCTTTTGTTAATGTTGCAGATCAAAAGGAATCACTGACCCGTCAGTTCAGTTCCAGTGGTTCGTTCAGACCCTTTTATTCGGGTATGCTTCCTTTGGTCTTCTGGTGGCTTACAAACCTTCAGCCAAGAAGCAGTACTAGAAGAGAGTGGAAGACGTCACTTCTCACATTCACCCTCATTTTTCAGAACAGATCCTCACTTACATGTTTAGGTGCTGTAATTATCTAATTTACATTCCTGCTGCACGATGCAGTGCCCTTCTACCCAAGCAACTCTCCTCATAGTAAGCAAGACAATTAAAATTCACAGGTCCCTGTGGATAGATAAGTAGAAATTCAGCCCTTCAGTCTTGGCACTGCCGAAGTTTAATCCTATTTATTTTGCAAGAAGCCGAAAGTTGCTTCTCTGCAGTTTGTGACATAGGCTGTGTACTCTGACAGCTGATAGTAGTGGCTGATAAATTACCTTTTCATGAGGAGGATTTTCCTTCTACAACTAATTGACAGCCACAAGGCAACTTGCACCTGTTTTGCAACAGGATTTAAATGTACTTATATTTTCTCTACGGTATTGGCACTGTTGTTGTTAAAGCCTGGTCTTTGTACTTTGTTTTGTCAACTTATTTTATTCCACAAAGGACAGACCACTATATTGCTGCAAGCACATCAAAAAGACCAAGTCTCAGCTCAGGCTAAAGTGTAGTGAGCTTGGATACATAAAGCACTTTAACTTGGTCTAATACATGTGCCTTAAAATTTGTGCAGCATGACCTCATCTTTTGGATGAAGATTTTAATCTATGAGTTACTAAAGTATAAAGTAGCTTTGAGGGCAGCTTTTTTGAGAAGGAATTTATTATCTAAGGAAAAAAAATTATCATTCCAAAATCCAGCTGAAAAGTTTATATTTGTGAATGAAATTAGGTGTAGTGAATAAACATTTACCAGTGTTTCCCAGATGCTGGTGTTATGAAATCTGTGGTTGGGAGACCATCTTAAGCACCCTCAGAGTATTTCCTGTATGTGTAGTGAGTCTTTTATCATACTGTCTTTTACTTTTGGATATTTGAACAAGAATTTAGCCTGTTTAGTTTTAGCACTTTAAAAAGTAATAACTATTTAAAATATTAACTCTGGTGTTGGAGAAGTTTTACCATTCCACTTGTTCTGCTGCTGTTCTGGAAGAAAGGATAAGAATAGGTTGCTCTTGCTCTAATCAAGAGCTCCACAAGGCAGTAATAAATAACGTTGTGTGTGCCTTGTGCGGTAGCTACAGACTAACACTTCTGATGAAGAAGTCTTATTCAAGCACAGGTACATAAAGTTTTTGCTTTCAGTGCATACTAAAAGCATGGAGAACTGAAGGGTTTGGTGGTTTGTTTGTTTGGTGTTTTTTTCTTATTTAATGGTAAACGGGTACATTAACATTTTGTAGAAAAGTAGAAACTCATGTTTAGTGCCTGGAAATCCAACAGGAGTGTCAAAAACATGAGCTGTCATTTTACTGTGTAACTTCCTATCTTAGTCTGTGACCCTGGAATAAAGATTTTAAAAAAGTGAAGAAGTTGTTTTTCTTTTTAATTTATCCTAGCAATAAATGTCTGTACTAAATGCATCATTTCTATACCTGCAAATATCACTATTCACACCTGGAACATACAGGATCAGCTGTATGGGTAAGTCCCACCCCAGTCCAGCATTTTTAACAGGGCAAGGTATTGATGGGGCTTGTCCCTACAAAAAAAACCAACAAACACAAACCAAAAAACAAGCAGTATTGGTATAATATTCTGTGTTTCAAGATGAATTCTAATAGACTCTTAATGAGCCTTAACTTAAGAATACAAAGGGATAAAAGGAGTAACTTTGGTTTAGCATTTTCACGATACAGTCCAAGACTTAAAAAAAGTGGCAAAATACTTCTTTCTTCTCAAGAGGCGTTTTTGTCTGTTCTGGTTTCCCACTATTCACTTTCCATCAGTGAGGCTGTAAATAAGGTCAGAACTACTACAGTACCTTCCCCTCCCTCCACCAGCCAGCACACCAAGGACTTGACATGCTCACCCTCACAGCCCTTCCCCCTGGGCTCTGGAAGGGCTGAAAAGCTTTGAGAAGTTGTCCATGTGCTGTTAGACTCAACCTAATCAGAAGGGCTTCCTTTTAGAGAGGCAGTGGCAAAACGTTCCTCAGTGGAGCCCAAGTATATATAATGGAAAAATTTTGTAACTACCTCGGTTAAAAAGTGTGTCCAAGTTAGAACTAAGTTTTAACCAGACACTGACCTCAGCAGCATTTTTTGAAGCCTCTCTGGGATTTTTGTTTAGCACAACAGATTTCAGTAGCTCTCTGCATGGAGGTTTTTGGGCATTGCTTATCAAACTTTTCAGAAATAGAACTATTAGATATTTATCTACCTTCAGACACTTTCTCTTCCCAACCCTTGCTTGGCAGTAGTTCAGTTTTAACACTTGTGTAAAAAAATAAACCAAACCAACCAGTGTTTACTCTCAGTCAGAGCTGTAAGCAGACCAGAGGCCTGGTTTTGATGTTTCAAGATGAGATTGCCCAGCTGAAGATCTGAGCAGCAGGGGATAAACAATGCTGACTGGCCTTGAGGAAAAGGAAGAAACCCACAGAATCATGAGATTCAAAATAATATCGAGATACCATTTCTGAATAGGTGTTTGTAGTGTCCCTAGCATCACAGTAAGATAACACACCGTAATACCTCACAACATTTTTTAGTTAAAAAGAGCAGAAGCATGAATTGGGTCAACACCTCCCACAGCTCACAGAGACAAAATGTGCACAGCTAGACGACAGGCTCTTTGGAAAAACGGTGCTGGTTACACCATGCATAAGTGTTTCTCCAGGCTATTCTAATAGCAGCAACAAAGGATTACTCTAATCACATGGAGCAACTCTTTCCACTGCAATCAAAATGCTTTTTCCACAACAGAGGGGCAGAGCAACAGAAGTGTGTTCTTAAAGGCTGGGCTGAGTGTCAAACCATCCACACCAACACGCAGCCTGCCCTGCTTGCCAAAGGAAAACACTTGCAAATACAAGTACTTCACTTAACAAAATATTTCAAAATATTGCTTCCCACTGAAGGGAAACTCCATTGAAATTTACAGAAGGGCTTCAGAAGTTTTTTCAGAATGGGTATTTCTGCCAACTAGGCTGTTGACATCACTGAAGGGAAATAAATAATGCTTAGACATCCATTTCAAATTGGCAATAAGAAAAAAAAAACCAACAAAACAACTCTTCCTGTGAAAGCCTGTGTACAAGACCGGGTATGCGTTATACTAACAATGTAAAGTAGATGCCAAGAAAATTTAAAACACCCATGCCTGTTTTTTTCTAGATGTATACAAAAAAATTTATTATTTATTTGACTTAAATTGGTAATCAAAAGAAATTTTTTCGTACAAGTCACAAATAACCATGTCACTTAAAACTACTTTTATGCTATGATTTCTTGGTAGCTTTGTTGAAGAAGAAAACACAAAGAAACTACCCAGGTCCTTTTTCACCCTTAAATCATAACATATGGGAATATATGGAAATGGGTGTAAGGTACTCCTTAAAGTAAGGCAGGTAATCTGGATCAGCATGTTTGGCAAATCACTGCTCAAATCAAGCTCTGTAGAGGAGAATCCAGATCAGGATAGGCAGCATCAGCTACCACGACACTCAGAAACTGCTGAGTCTGAACAGAGGCAGTAGAAGGTCTCCCACCCATTTTCAAGAACTATTTCCAAAACCTTCAGGGCTGTAGCTCATTTTTGTGAGGAACTGATGAAATCTTTCTGAGAATCACAATATGTTGTCTTGCTTTGCCTCTGTTGCATGCTGACCTAGACTTTTCTAAACACAACAGGAGTCAAGTGAGCCAGTCTTTGGAAATACTCAAGTGTTGGATAGTTAAGGACATTTAATTTGCCCTGAGGCTGGGCACTGGTCTCCTGAAGAGCAATAGAGCCCAGTTAAAGCTGAGGGAAGGGCCTCCATGGTCACTGTCATAGAGTCTGCAGTAAATTTGACCACTATAGGCAACGTCTTTGAGGTCCTACAGTCTGTTGTTTGTGGGCACAATCTCAGGGGGGTGTGTAGGGAATAGGGGGCAGAGTTGAAAACCTTCCACAGAAATACAGTAGGAAAGTTATGGAAAGCAGCTGTTGGCTCACTGATCTTAAGGTTTCCAGACAAACGAATTTTAAAAAGAAAAAAAGTAACCAATGCAGTAATGTTTCCACGAATGAGAGAATTTGAACTGTATATTCCTTCTATGTTTATAGCTCATGTTTGAATATAGAGAGGGGAACATCAATTTCCATTTTTTAATTATAGTACTGCTGTATCAGAGCCCTCTTTAACAAGGCTGTCAGTCTCACTTCATTATTTACAAGGCTATGCAATTTAAAAAATCCTTTGCTTTTTTGCTTGTTCATTACAAGCTGGTACATTTTTATTCCCCAGCCTCCCAGTAGGTAATATTCACATACAAAATAAAGAGATGTTTCTTGAGATTTTTTTAATGACTCCACTCATTTGAGGACTTAATGAAAACTTTTGCTATATGGCCAACAGCATATACATTCAGTTGATCTTGCAAGCAACATGTTTATTCGGACTGGTGCCTGTATGCAAGACCTGCACGAATAGCTCAATAAATTACCATCATTTGTTGAAAGCATCTCAGCATTTCCTTTACTGTTGATCCTCAGAAGAGAAGTAATAATATTGCACAATCCACATACTGTACTAGACTTTACAGGGCCCCTGCAATTCCAAACTTAACTACAGCACATGCATGACTGGGAAGAAGGAGGGGAGAGGAGGAAAGAGAGGTATAAGGAACATCACTGTATCATTTATCAGTGTTCTTTGAGACCATTTCACAGAGAAAAACCACTTAGGTGCCTCTTGAGGGAATACACAGGAAGCCAATTTACCAAGTTTAGAACCATACAGGGTAAAATGTCCTTCTAAAGACTCTCCAGACTTATCAAATGGAACACCACATTCTTCTCCAAAATTTCAAAAGTGTGAAAAATAGGGTGTTTTTTTCATATTTGCAAAAGCCCCCCAAAAACAAGTGAATCAAAATACCTGCATTTAGAAGAGCTTCCAGACATCAACAGCACAAGGCAAGCCCCTCATATCTTCTTGGTGGATGCATTCAGGTGTGATTGATCCAGCTCTGCTCCTTAAGGACTCTTCCTTTCTTCAGACTGAAAAACTGTACAGGCTTAGGGACCCTGTTGATCACTGTTGACATACTTCAAAACATTCATATTTTGTTAGAATATTTTCCAACCACAGCCACCAGTTTTTGCTGTAGCTTTATTTAAAATAAATAAGTGCTTTTGAACCATGGGAAATTCACGTGCTCAGGAGGGTACAGCATTCAGAAGGATTCCCCCTCCACCGAGATGTAGCAAAAAGTTGGAAGCACATGAAAGCAAAGGTTTGTAATAGAAGGAAACTCTGCAAACTTCAGTATCCCATACATGGCAGAGTGGTGTTAAACAAACAGCAAAGAAGGTGACAGGAGAACCAAGGCCATCAAATAAATGACCAGCAGGAATTACAGTCCAACCCCAAAGTCTTGCAGTTTCTTTTTCCAGTCACTAAACCACATGCCTAGGTTTGGGTCTAGCAAAAGTTTAATAGCAACACCTCAAATGCACTTACTGCATTTTAGGATGGGCTGATCTAACACATGTTTCTGAATCTTCCAGAAGCAGTAGTCTAGAAGGCAAGTTGCTGCTTGTGAGGGCATGCCACCTGCCTGGGGAGATGAACTGCTCCTGATGCTGTGCAGACATGTACTGGCAGAGCTTTAGATGTTAATCCACAGCTATCAGGACCTGGTTCAAGAAATTAAGGAATCAGTGTGGGAAGAGACTTTGTTTCAATTAAAGGTACACCTTGTTTGCATCAGTTCTTGGAAGAAGTCATGCTGTGCCCCTGGCAAACTCTGTATGCGCAGGGCAGCTCCCAAAGCTAAGAAGCTTAGCACTGGTGGAATTACCTGGGTGAAAGCATCTTCTTCCACTGAAGATAAGAACATGCATTTTAGCTGGTGGCCTGCTGTGCCCTGAAATTGAGGGACTGGTTTACCAAAGTTCATGATACTTATAATGAGTATCCCCAAGACCCAATTCACCAGATATCATGGACTTCACTCACCCACAGAAGCCCAGCCCAAGATACCTCTGCTCCCAGACTCTACACATTGCTCACGAACACAGCCAGGTACAAGCAAGGCAGTGTTTGCAGTTGGGCTAGTACATGAAACAGGACCTCCTCCTTCTAAGGCAGTGAGGAGAGATCCTTACCTATCCATGCTGGGGAGCACTCCAGAAATCTCCCATCCCACTCCACAGGGCAAGAGCAGCCACACTGCCGAGTTGTGCTCACCTCCTTGGCAGCTCAGAGCTCCCCCCATGCATGAATGATGGGAATTTTGTGTCAATGCCAAGGACAGACACAGGATAAAAATTACCTCTGATTTTTTAAATATGAGACTGCTATCAGTACCACAGGAGAGAA